TTGCAATAAGAGCAGTATTGAACAATTGGATATCTTGAAAGCCTAGCCCCTCATGCTTCTTGGCCAAGGTCAACTTATTCCAATATACCCAGTACATCCCTCTCTAAAAGTCAAAGCCCTTTCTCCACCAGAACTGCCCACAAACTACAGAAATTTCCTTACACAACCTTGCATAGAGTACAAAACAGGACATAGAAAAAACAGGTAATGCATTCAAGACAGCTCTAATCAACACCTCCTTACCAGCAGCTGACAACCATTTATTCTTCTAACTGAATATCATGTTCCTCACCATAATCAAATGTAACCAAAAGCCTCTTTGTTTGACTTCCCAATCCCGAGAGAAAGTCCTAAATATCTGGTTGATGGGTGTTTCTGAATCCCTGCCAGTAAAGAACAAACACTATTTGTACCTCATCTAGTGTATTTTTGCTGAAAAAATAGTTGACTTCTCCATACTCACTTGTTGGCTTGTAAAATTCTTAAAGTGTTGTAAGATGCTAAGCAACTTCCTGATTTGGCCTTCATCTGCCTTACAGAAAACAAGAGTATCATCTGCAAACATCAAATGAGTAAGAAGAGGCCCACCCCTTGACAACCTAAGACCTTTGAAATTCCCTATCTCTCTCTGCTTCCTCATTAATCCTAGCAGAGAGAAACTCAGAGATAATGATGAATAAATTGTTAGGATATGCTGTAAAAGTTTGGCTTTCAGATTCTAGCAGTTCCATTTTGATACGACAATTATGTTTTAGTCAAAATACTTATGCTTGGAGTTTATTATTTATGCAATCATAACTCATTTATAGTACATTGTATATAGTATGGTTCGTCGTGTCGAACAGAAAGATCATACTATCGGTTCCTTGTAAAATATAAACTAATTGTTCACAGTTCAGACAGACAGTGAGACCCCTGTTGGAAAAAGGACTGTAGGGTAAGTCTTGATTCGGTTGGTCTTTGACTGATAGATTACACTAGTACTTATGATAAGTATTAAACAGGACCGCGAAAGGATAAGATTATAAGATTTACTGATCGCAGTTATAATCTAAACCTTTAGTAATTGATGAGTACTCTTAAGTCGTATGATAATATAAAACGGGCATACATATTCATCACTTGTTTATTTGATTTACCATGGGTGATTCCTATTTTGCTAGGATGACATACTCGGTATTCTGGTAAATGAGGGTGTTTATATGATGTGTTGTTATAAATTATTTACGGTCACTATGTCCCAGTGCATTGGGTTGATGACGTCCCCGAAATGAGCTCAGAAAGAATATTATGTCAAGCCCTGCAGGCGGATGTGTATCCGACATAATGATTAAAGATCTAAGTGGTACTAGTTTCAGAAATGAATAAGAAGTTGATTAATGATTTTGTCAGTAATTTAATTAATCAACGGACGTTATATCTTAAACATAAGAAGGTAAATTAATCAATTAAATTAATATTTATTTATTAAGTGGAGACGAATTAATTGTAATTCAGAGCTAAATGGCGAGAGAAATAATATTACTCTAGTGGAATGTTTTATTACTTAATTCTATTTAAGAATTAGGAATTACTTACATTTCCATAATTTAATTCCTTTAGGAGATGAATATTCTTTTTAGAATATTACCCTATGGATAGGAAATTTTGGAGTCTTCTAGAAGAGTGATTAGGATTAGGAGGAATAGGACTCCTAGATGGGAAAGGATATGGAACATAAATAGGATTCCTAAACCTAATGGATAAGCTCATATTTAGCACCTCCTTAGGGTCCCTATTGTAACCTATAAATACACCGAGTCCCCTAGCCTCAAGATCTTGATGTTACATGTTTTTCTCCCACACGAGAGGCTGATAATTTTAGTCCAAAATATGTGAGAAAAGTGGAGTTGCTTCTTTGAGAGAAAATTCGGATAAAACTGAGAGGTCTTAGAAAAATAAAATCGAGAGGTTTTGAGAAACCCAATAAATCTCTCCACCAAGATTTATTGGAGATCGTGTAAGGTCATACAATAGAAGATTCGAAGGTTATTAATTCGGATCTCGTCGAATATATATATATATATATATATATATATATATATATATATATATATATATATATATGGG